TTAGAGTGATGCTGGCTTCATAGAAGGAATTTGGAAGTTCTCCCTTTGTTTCTATCTTTTTGAGTAAATTAGGTAGCATTGAATATAGATCTTTTTAAATGTCTGGTAGAATTCTACTGTGGAACCATCTGGGCCTGGGCTTTTTTTAGCCAAGAGATTTTGGATTATTGTTTCAATTTCCTTATGTGTTATGGGTCTATTTAAGCTGTGGGTCTCTTCTTGGTTTAACTTTGGTAATTCCCATAGCGTATAGGTTTTTAAAGTATTCCTTTAAAGTGTTCTGGATTTTTTGTTGTCTGTTGTGATGTTTCCCCATTCATATCTGATTATGTTGATTTGGAATTGCTCTTTCTTTCTTTTGGTTAACTGGACTAAGGGTCTGTCTATCTTGTTTATCTTTTCAAAGAACCAGCTCTTGGATTCATTGATTCTTTGTATTATTTTCTGTGTTTCCATTTCATTGATTTCTGCTCTGATTATTTCTTCTTGTCTGCTGGATTTTGGTTTCATTTCTTGTTGCCTTTCAGGTGTCTTGAGTTGCAATGTTAAGTCATTTATTTGTGTTCTTCCTGTGATAGGAACAATTTTTATGTTGGTTTCATATCTTAAAATTTTACTGAATTCATCAGTCCTCACAGGTTTTTGGTGGAATCTTCAGGGCTTTCTGTGTGTGAGATCATGTGGTCTACAAATAGAGACAATGGCATACCTTCCTTTTCTACTAGGATGCCCTTTCACTTTTCTCTCTTGCCTAGTGGTTCTGGCTATGACTTCCACTACTGACCTAGAATGGACCCCTGTGAGGAAAAATAGCCTTCCGCCATTGTGCATGTTAGCTGTGTTCTTCCATCTGTGGCCTTTATTGTGCTGATGTGCATTCCCCTTATACTTAATCTGTTGAAAAATTTTTTTTGAGAAACGATGATGAATTTTGTATGAAACTTTTAAAAAAGATTTAAATTGTATTTACTTATTTTTATGTCATGTTTATGAGTTTTGCTTGGATGCATATAGGTGTACCCATATTGTACAGAGCCTGCTGAGGCCAGAGAAAGGTGTCGGATATTCTGGAACTGGAGTTGTGGATAGTTGTTATTTACTATGTTGGTGCTGGGAATTGAACCCAGATCCTGTGGAAGAGCAGCCTGTGCTCTTAACCACTAAGCCATCTCTCCAAGACCCTGGACTCTTATTATTGATTAAATTTCCTTACTTGTTATTGGTCTGTTTCCTATTTTTTCACGATTCAGTCATGAGAGGAAGCATGTTTCTAAGAATTTATCCATTTCTTCCTGATTATCCTATCTGTTGATTTGTAATTATTCACAGTAGTCTTTAAAAATCCTCAGAAGTCTGGGGGAAATGGGGGCACCTTAAGTGGGAAAACCATGATGGAGGGGTGAGACAATGCGAGAGATAAACAATGCCTAGCTAGTTTTGAAAACCAGAGGGAACCATATTACTCCTACAACCTACTGACAAATTATACATAGCAGATCAAGAAACATATGTCTAGGTAAGGTTTATCTGAGAATAACTGGTCTTTGCCCAAGATTTATCTACATGACACACAGTAATTAAAAGTACCAGACTGGTGGAACTAACATTCTTGGATATTTAACAGACATATTTTGAGGCCTATACTAATTGGTAAGAGGGACATAAAGGACAGTTTTTGCTCCTTGCCCTCCTAGGTCGACTAGTTCTAGGGGACTATGAGCACCTCTCAAAATACCCTGTAATGGTGGTGGGTCAGTTGTACTCTTGATCAAAGAGGCTGAGGAGACCCTACCAGATGGACTTGAACCAGTG